CCACTTTATAGGTAGCAAGATCATGCTGTGTTATTTATCACTCATCTGGAATTTCTTAGGCCATTTCCAAATGGGATAAAAAAAAATCCCAAATAAACTCAGTATTCAAAAATTTCTCCACCACTCTGCATCTGATAAGCTGAGGAAGGTCATCTCAACTTTAGTTTCAGGTGGCCAGAATATTTACTGGTCTAGAGTGACTCTTAAACAGTCAGAACTTCACTTACATCAGGAAAATGACCAAACTAGGGAGAGGTTCTAGACTGAAAGCATTTGGTCCCCAGTCATGTGATGCTTCATTGTCTGTTTCTAAAATGTTTGTTTAGTAATTAAGAAAAACACATTGGTATAATCAGATTATTTAGGATCATGCTGTGTGGGAGACAACTCCAGTGACTCCCTTTGAATCCAGAACAATTGCTGTGACTTTGAATACTTGGAGACTCATTTCCTTATACTGATATGTAAAAGGCTGGCTAGGGTATTTCCTCCTCTCTTCAATTGGCTCTGAGCATAGTAAATAAGGCTAGCTGAGGTGCTAATGTGCAAAGTCTATAGCCATCAGACAGTCCTGTTTCCTCACATGGTGCTCTCCACAACAGGATTGAGCTGGCAAGATGTTAGAGCAAAAAGCTCCAGGAATGTCGACTGGGTACGAGCCTCAAGATAAGAAGCTATGACTCCTCAATGCATAACAGTTTGCATATCAGAAACCGAAGTGATAGCCCCCCAAAACAATTCCACTGTTACCTTAATTGGGTTATGTAAATTGATCCTTCTGCATACCTTTATCCCTGCAAATTATAGAGATGCCATTCTTGCACCTGTCCGGCCAGCTCAAATGATTTAGTAATCCCTGACATCCTGACCATCACTCATCCCTGAGCCATCCGCCTTTCTTCACAAGAGAATAAATGCTGGGAGAGACCTAGGATCGAGGCCTTTGTTTGCATGTCCTCACAAGGATTGGACTTAGGACCCCATGGCTGCCCTTAACTTGGAATATGTCTTGGTGTCTTTACTATCACCATGGTTTGGATTGGTGATGGTAGATTGGAATTAACCTGCTGGGATTCCAATAATGTCTCAATGGGATTATAAATATAACTTTTTAGATTGTGAGGAAAACTAGAAAGAAGATTACAATACTTGGATGACTGAACTCGGTATTTGGCTTTACAATAATGCTGGACACAAGAATAGGACTGGGATGATAAGAAATTTTAAACCCACATCACAATATGATCACATTGCTTTTCCTCCCTTCCTGCCTGCCTGCCCTCCCCACCTTCTTACCTTCCCTCCTTCCTCTCTAGAAGACAACAGATGTATTTCCATTCTGATAATATCTTTGGAAACCTAAAATTTATGCACTGACCTAAAAATTTACAAATAATAATTATACTGTTCAAAATATTATATTAAAATTTTAAACTGTGATTTTTGTCTTGCTAGAGAGCATTAAAAGAAATTCATTTTTTTACTGAATTTTTTGTAGATTTTATAGATAGATCTGTTTGGACTTTCTATTCTAGTCATCAGTGAAATCTCAAAGTTATCTAATGAAATTTTATCCATGTCACAATCAGATGTGGATTTACTTTTATGATATCATCACCAATTTTTAAATGTGCAAATTCACACAACTTTGGAAAAATGAAAGAAGCCCAAAGATTATTTAATAAAAAAATCTAAACTCATTTTTAAAAAGATTTTTAAGTTCTGGTATAAGGGATATTATGAAATAAGATACATCACAAATGCAAACTACACTATAGTGAAAATGTTACTGTTATAGGTATCTGAGTTAATTAGAAGTATTATAGGCAGTCAGACAGGGGTAGGCCCTCAAAGAGGACAGTGCAGAAAACCAGATATCTTGTAACCCTGGAGAAGACAGACACCTCCTGCTGTGGGCCAGCTGGATCAAATAAATGCAACTACACCCTACGTATAAAGATCAGGGGTTGATATTCTAAATAGATATGGATCACCTTGAGGAAGCCAGAAGTCATCATCACATAGCCAAAGGCCCTGTTCTGTATTCATGCGTGTTTGCTATGTGATTTGCCTGCCCATTTGCTCCTTATTTAGTCAATTTTACCTGAGTAATTACACTTGTAATCTTATTAGTTGACCACAGTTCTGTCCCACCTCATGCCATTTGCTTTGTAAGTTCCCATTTTTCCCCACCTTAGACCCATCTCATCTCGTGGTTTTGCTCTACAAAAGCCTCTAAAAAAGACAAAAGCCTTTGGCCACCCATTTAGGACTCTTTCTGTCTCTCTCTCAGAAGCTTTCTTTCCCTCAATAAATATATTTGGCTCTTAACCTCTATTGTTACTAAAATTCATTCTTTGATTTTAGAGAACATGAACTTGTACTAAACATATAGTTGGTTGGGAGTTTTTTCCCCCTATATCATTACTTTTCTGTGATAAACTAAACAGATAGGATATATCACAAACATTGTAATAATTAATGGTTGAGACAAATAGTAAGAACTTAAAAATATTTCCAATAAACACTTGGTTTAAAACCTACTCCTTTAATAGTAACTCTCTTTTGTTACGTATGGGGTTAGTAATTCAGAAATGAGAATAATCTTATACTTGATTTAAGAAGTAGGAAGTTTATTACATCAGCTTCTGATCTGAATTAGTGAAGAATTATGGAATTGCAGCACTGTAAAGAAACCGTGGATGTTATCTTTATTCCAGTGAGAAACTGAAGTCCTAGAGCAGTCCAGTGGTGCCGGGGTCCCAGGCAGTTTCTGAAGGATAACATCTGAAATGATAAGAAGCTCAAGATCCGCACCTGGGTGTCTGGGAGGTTTAGGTTGGGTCCCTTGGAAACTAGGTCTCTTGCTTGTCAATTATCAGTATACTAGGGGGATAAATCAAATGTTATAACAAATATTAGTTCCAAGTGGCAATCAAGAGTCATGTGTTTCACATCAATAGACAAATTACGTTATGCTTTGATTCATTTCAGCAGTAGTACCGGCTGTGGGTTTTGCTGACTCTCAGCCTCCAATGGATCAGGAGAGTTTTGGCACTAGAAGCAAAGATTACACTGAATGCCTGTCTCATTAGTCCTTATGAGCCATTTTGTGTGATGTATTTGCTTACCAGTTTTCCTCTCTAATCTTAGACTAGTTACAAGTTCAAGCATAGTACACATTTACTGTAAAGAAAAAAATAAACAAAATCTCTAAGGACACAGCAAACTCCATGGTCATACTACCCAAAGTTTAATCTTGGCTCCACTACTTATTCACTGATGTTATTTAAATTATATCACGTATCCGTTCATACTTTCTATCCTATAAAATCGAGGTTGTTAGCAATTAGAATGCAGTATTTATAACAGACTATCAACAAATAATTTTAATTCATCATACTTTAGGCCACTTCCCTGCTACAAAATAACTTTTTTTCTTGTAAGCAATTATTGCTTTCTTTTGAACACCATCCTCAGAAGATGCCTAACTGCAGAACCATTTTTGCTTCTTGATAGCACCCATTCCAAACCAAATCTTTGTTTCCCTGATTGTACTTTAAAATCCTCTCCTATTCCAAATTTTATAAGAAGTTCTTCCCAATTCACTAGTATAGAGACATCCCCTAATATATGCCTTTTCTTGTTGCATCAAACTAAACTTAACTTTGTATGAATTCGAGTGTTCTGGCAGTCTTTGATTGTCATGCTATCACAATACTGAACATCTATATGCAAAAGAAATGGTAGCTATTGGCAATAGTAGGGCAGGCTTTCAATTCTCAGCTTCTATTCTGTAGCATATTTGAAGACACAGTTGTTCAATGAAGGATGTTTCTTAATTAACTGTGAGGTCAGACAGTACAGGTAGGATTAAGAGATATACTTTTTCCTCCAAAGCCCAAAGGGTTATTGAGAAATGTCCAAGTAACTGCAACAGCAATGAGTGGAATGGAAAGCCAAGCAAAGAGTAAACATTTTGAACCTACTGAGGTTCAAGTCATACCCAGAAACTGACCTTTACCTGGATCTTGGAAGCAAGGCTATCCAGATCTCTGATAAAAGGAGAATAGAAAGCTAAACTTCTATTCTCAAGTTTCTACTGTCACCTGAAAAATTAAAAAATGGTACTTAGGCCATATTTGGAACACAAGACAGGGGTTTATTTATGCAAAAGATATTTTAGCTCATTGTTGGTAGATCACAAATCACACACACACACACACACACACACACACACACACACACACACACAAATTGATGCGAACAATACCAAGCATTTATTTTCTCTAGCAACTGTGCCTGGTCAGGAATCCATGAGTCACTTGGTTAGATGATTTAGGTTCAGGGTCTTTCATGAGTTGCAGTTACCTGAAGGATATTCTGGGGCTGGTGAATCTAATTTTGGGGACTCACTCGTGGCTGGCAATTTTCTTTACATATGCCTCACTTCTGGTCTCTGTGAAGGTATGCAGAACACAATCTCGAGATTTCCCCAGGGGCAGAAATCCAAGAAGGTAAGCCTGAAGTAGCACTGTCTTGTGATTCAATCCTGGAAGGCACATGTCATCCCCTTGGCCATGTTCTGTCATCAACATTTACTAGCCCTGTTTCAGTATCAGCTATGCTTATCTGTGTTGTTTTTGATTGCACCTAAAATCTGTTTCCTTGTTTGTAATATGAAAGCAACAACTTCCTTTCTAGACTGTTTTGAGTATTAACAAATATGACTATCACAGCACTACTTAGCCCAATGAATTGCTCCACAGAGGGCACTATTAGAAGTTAGTCCTCTTTTCTTAGCTTTAATTTGTTTATCTCATACTTCTAAACTCCGACCATCCCTCTTTCCCCCACGTCTGAAAAGAAGACTACTTCCTGCCTTGTTAACGCTCCCACTCCGGATTCAAAGTGGGACTATTCTTCAGGCGGAACTCTAGTTCCACAAGTCTATCCTAGTAGCCGGAACTTATTGAGAAACGGACAGGAAGTGATTCCGGCGGCTCTTATTTCCGTCGTCTGACCCGGGTTGTGATATCGTGCAACGCGTGGTGCTTCAGTGGGCGTTGCGTTGAAAGCACTGAGGCGGGGGCCCAAAGGTGTCGCGGCCACATCTGCCCCGGCTACTCCATGCCAGGTTGGAGGCTGCTGGCGCAAGCGGGCGCCCAGTTTCTGGGCTGCAGCACCGGCGGCCTGGCTGCTGCCCCCGGCTTGAGGAGTAGGTGGGTATGCGTACGACAGGAGGTCTAGGGTTTGCAGCCTGCAGCTCTGCGGCTTTGAACAGTGGCCGGTCTTGACACGCGTGACCTCCCGTGGTAGAGGAGGAAGGAACTCTCTTCAACCGTGGGGCGCAAAAAAAAATAAGGCTTGTCAGGAAAGCAGTTTGGAGAGGACTAAAGGTTTTTTGTTATTGTTGTTTTTTTAATACTTGAGGCGAGCAGTTGACTAAGGACATTAACAATAAAAATGATATCTTCCAATGAGTGAGCGTGTGGTACACGAGCAGTTAAATATATTTGGCGCTTTATATTATGTAGCTTCATGTGCTCAAACTATCGTGTGGTTTATGGTTAAAACTAAATCTTAAAAGGGGAAGTAACGTGTCCAAAGTCACCTAGCTACTTAGTGGAAAATCGGGACTCTTAACCTGAATCTGCCTGACTACAGAAGCCAGGCGGAGAGAGGGCTGCAACAACTACTTCTGTCCTTACCCCTTTGTTGCAAGGATTGCATGCCTTCTCCACCATCATCACTAGGGTTTTTCTTTTTGTTTGTTTGTTTGTTTTATCGTTACCGGGGATCGAACTCACGACTGCCTGCTTGCAAGGCAGGCGCTTCTGCCACTGAGCTAAATCCCCAGCCCCTTCACTAGGGTTTTTCTTGGTGTGTTAACTGGTCTGAGGGCATGTCTCTTGTGTCTATCTTTCCACACCCAGTTTCTTCACCTGAAACTAACGTGCTACATTTGGGCCGTCTCCCCTGGATGTAAAACTCTTAAAACACATTCAAGTGAGTTAGTGGCTTCTCATGTACTTAGATAGGACTACTGTACTTTGTTAGGAATGTGTTTATCCCAGGAGAAAAAATACTTCTTCCAGGAAAACTATTCATAGTTAAAATGTGGATCAGGAAAGAATTTATGTCTCTGACTTGGAATGCGTGTGACCACTACACCTTATATAAGATGGGGGAATTATGACTTAGTCTTTTATTTTTACAGAACAGACATCTGGCTTTTTGTTAGAAGTCTCCATGATAAGAGCCCAACTTGGTGGGATGAACATCTTTCTGAAGAAAATACCTCATTTGTTAAGAAGTTGGTCTCTGATGAAGATAAAGCCCAGTTAGCAAGTAAACTGTGTCCTCTAAAAGATGAACCATGGCCTATAAATCCTTGGGAACCAGGTGATTTTTTTTTTTTTTTTGAAGAATTTTATCTCTTAACTTTGTGTCTGGACACAGTCAAAATCTTAGTGAGTGCTTCATAACATTTTTATCTTTTGAATTAATATTTATGTCTTAAGTATATCTGTCTCGTACTTAAGTTTGCAAGTTTATTTCCAGTCTCCTCCTGACCCACTGCTGGTAAAGACCTCCTTGAAGCTGTTTTGTAGGGAAAAGAAAATATCATTTTGCATACATTCTCTTCTTTGTTTGAGAAAAAAGCAATATAAAATTAGGAAAGAAAGCCTGGATGAGTGTGATGTTAATGACAATGCATCATGCAGAGCTTTGCATTTGAGATGCTCTGGCACTCATGGTTTGCCAACCATAACTCCAGAATCAACTCTTTGAGTCTGGTGTGCGTACACATGCATGTGGCCAGACCAATAAGAATTAGGCCTTTCCTACTGAGTGTGTGATTTCTGCTTGGAGTTTACTGTAATAGTTGAATTTTATAGTGCCTAAAGTTCTTACTGAAACATTCTTGCCAATGTATGCAACACATCTTATGTTTTTGTTTTGTTTTGTTTTGTTTTGCTTTTTGTTTTGTTCTTTTGGGACAGGGTCTTGCTATGTGATTCAGGGTGGCTTTGAACTCACTATGTAACCTAGACTGGCCTCAAACTTGTGGTAATTGTCCTGCCTCAGCCACCAGAGTGTGTATTACAGGTGTGTGCAACCATGCCTGACTTGCAGCATATCTGAGTGTTTGATAATGACTGACATATTTTAGCAATATGTCTACTTGAGACATCTGTATAGTCCAACTAAGGTCTTAGAATTTAAGTGATAGGTATTCACTAATTAGTAATATTGGTCATGAATTGATGTCAGGAAAGCATGGCAATGGATTTATGTACCCCGTGTTAATACTTTTATTTAAAAACTGGAATATGTAAACTCAGCTATTTGTATAGATTGCTTGGATTTGTTCATTTTTCTTGAGCACCAATACATTATGCCAGGCATGCTTGAAGGCACTTAAATCTGTGAGGAAGAGCCTTGTTTTACCCTGAATATTTTATTATATCTCTGATATTCCTGGTCCTTGCGTTGAAACCTAATTTTAGGAAATACTGTTGCATCATGCTGGTAAATTTGGAAAAAGCTTTCTTTTGTTAACATGACATGGTTTTAATTGGCAGGTTCTTCTAGAGTTGGCCTTATTGCCCTGAAGCTGGGCATGATGCCTTTATGGACCAAGGATGGTCAAAAGCATGCAGTCACATTACTACAGGTAAGAAAGAAACAGAACATGTGAGGGATCCATACATATGGCCAGATCTTTTTGTGCAGACTTGACTGGGTGATGTTTATATCATGAAACATGTATCTGTGGGGGGTGGGTGGAAGGCTAATGTCAAATACAAACAGTATTAAAAAAATAAAACTTTACTTCTGATGGTTTCAGTAATGTTCTGAACCTTGCTTGAGACATAGCTTTCTGATATTGATATTAAAATAACTGGGACAGTGGATTAAAACAAAAAGTATAACATAACTTCTCATAGATCTACCACTTTTGTTATAGGAGGAAAAAAAAATCTCAGTCTTATCTTCTATTCTGACAGTTAAGAATATTTCCCTGTCGGGAGAAACTGTGTTTTTATTCTCTGACATGAGTTATACTTAAATGATTAAGAATGTGGGCCCTTAGACTGAAACATCTGAGTTTTATATCCTGGTTCTGCCACTTGTTAGTTGTGTTCCTTAGGGAATTGTGTCTCATCCGTAAAAGATATAATTCTATTTTGTAGAAGAAATAATTATGACTTACCTCGGAAGTTACTGTGAAGACTGCACAAGAGGATACACGAGAGGCACTTGAAAAGAAACATTAAAGTCCAGAATTGTGTTAGCTGTTGTTGTCTTTATTACTAGAGAAAAAGCTTTGATACAGTCAGGGAACCATCACTCCCCAAATGCCTTTGGATAACTCGGTTATTTGGGGGGTTCTTCTCTTAAATAAGTATTTAGACTAGTAATGATAGTGAAAATAAGAGCTCATATAAATGTTTAGTGTTAACAGGGCATTGGCTTTGAATGATCAAGTGTAAGACAATGGTTTTGAGCACTGTCAGGCACACTGGAAGCTTTCAAGAAAGCCCTGTGAGATTGTAGCTTCGTAGAACCATTTCAGCAAACAGTTTAACATTATATGGTAAAGTTTAGATAGGTGAACCTTGCAGTTCTCCTCCTGAGTATTATTATAAACTTTGAACAGGTGCATATTAGGATTCCTTTACAATACTGTTTAGAGCAACATCACTTAATGTGCCAGAACTGGAATGATCCCAGGTGTCCATCAGCAGTAGAATGGAAATTGTAAACTGTGGGATAGTTACGTGATGAAATGCTATATAGCAGTGAAACACAATGGTGAGTGAAAGAAGACGCAGAAGAGTGCATATAGTCTAAAGTAGCCAACGTTAAGTATCTATTAAGCAATCCTTTCAGCAAGCCTCAGAATCCCCTGCAGGGTTATGAAGTGCAGAGCTTTGGATCTAGTGGGTCTTGGATGCGGCCTCATGGGCTGTATTGTTACCAAGTTCCTCAGAGATACCATCCACTGTTTGGGGACTAGCATTCCCTCAGGGAGCTGCTTTGTCATTAAAAGGCGAGGCGATGATGATGGGGGTAGGAAACGTAGAAGCTTTGGGGGTCCTTTTTGACCTGTGTCATATCACCTCTATAAATACTCACTTCATTGTGTTTGTATTTTCTGTGTACTGGACTGTGTTTGACAGTTTTGAAAGTTTCTTTGTTTATATTAAGATTGTATTTTTGATGAATTAAGTAACTGTATGAAACTCCCAATTATCCGAGGACCTCAGTGAATCTGATCTGTAATGTTAGAATGTACCTTGGCGCATACTTAATTTTGTTTGCTTTTTAGGTACAAGACTGTCACGTTTTAAAGTACACTTCAAAGGAAAACCATAATGGAAAAATGGCAGCCCTGACTGTAGGAGGCAAAACTGTGTCACGTTTCCGTGTAAGGATGCATTTTCATTTGCATTTCATTTTCATTAGTTTCGTGTCTGAATGCTTTTGTGCTTTTTACTTTTAATTACCATGGAATTACTTGGAATCTAAACTTAGTAGTCAGTTAACTAAGAATTAGCAGCACAGGTTACCACAAAGTTTTAGTGAAAAGGAAATGGGCTGCTCTACCCCAACACGTAAATTTAGCTAACTTGCTTTAATTTGTCTCTGAGGTAAGCTGTGGTTTTGGCAGGAGAAACAAGTAACTTTACTTCTGTAAGCCATAGTGCTTATACATCTGTAAAGTAGAGATAAAAACGTGATTTAATTAGTATGCTTGTCACAGGATTAGCACATTTCTGCTGGCCCGAACCATCAGTGGTACATACGTGACTGTCCCATAGGTGGCTTGTACTGCTAGTGTACAAATGGATCTTACCACACTATTGTTCCTTTTACTAATAAAATCAATAAAAAGGCTGCTGATGGGACACTCATGCATCTACCACTGCTGTTTCAAGCTGCTCAGCAGTGAGACAAATTACAGCCCTGTTATGAACTTGTTAAATGAAGTTTTTCTAGTGTTTCTATAATGTAACAGACAATAGATCTGGTAATTTTTTTATTCATTTCCTATGAAAAATTATCTCAATATTTGACACCAAGAGCATATGAGGATTAATTTCTTGTATTTTAGCAGGAGCTTTCAGGACCAGGTCGAAAGCTGTATATGAACCCATGTCAAATTTTTCTAAATAAAGCATTTTTTTCTAAGCATAATGTACCAAAAAATGTTGGATTTATGGTTGAAATTGGAAAAATCTCTAGTTACTATTCACTAGTGTATGACTAAAGCTAGAAACCTTTGTAGATAAAGTGGTTTTCACTAATGGATAACAAAGTATCTTTAGGTTTATTCATCTCTAAGCAAACTTCTTTTCATTGGAAATTGTGTGTGAAGTGAAAATAATATTAGAATATAACCCATACTATCTAGCTGTCAGAACTACCAAATGTTTATTGTATGCCTACCATTTCCTTGTTAGAACTTTTATTGATTGAGTACTTACTACATGCCATGGACATAATAAGACTTATATTCACTACCCTAAGTACTTTTTTCAGCCTCTGAGGTAAAGCAGTTAAGTAACTTACTCAGGACCACTGACAGGTAATAATAATGACAGCCTTGTACCTTCGTTTCTTAACTGCTTCTTGATAGTCACCTTTTGGAAACTCCCAAGCTGATGAGAGAGGAATAAATCAATTAGCCATCCTACTACAATATAAATGCAGTAGGCACAGAACTAGAGACAGCCATTTCTGCTTAGGAAAATCCTAGAACTTTCACAGGGAGAAGACCACAAAGGAAGACAAGTGTTAAGGCCGGGCTGGTGGAAGAGCATGTGTGCTTGGGAGGAGAAATGTGATGGTGACATGGCTGCTTCTCAGTGTGGATGTGGCCAGGAGGAAGAGTGACCATAAGGGATTTAGGCTTGTCTTGTAGACCCTGGGGAGCTTTCTAATGTCTTTAACCTGGGCAGTAACAAATGGTTATCTTGGTTTACAAAACCTAGAAGTATCTGGTTTCAGAGCTTACTTTCAGGAAAGTTTAGGCATTTAGGAGAGAATCAACAAAAGCCTTTTGAACCAAGGCAGTTGCATTTGGGTTGAAAGGCTGAGATTTGGAAAAGGGGTGGAGGATGCAGGATAGGACTGGGAATATGGAACATGCAGGCATAGAATGGTTTCCCAGTAAGCATCTCAGTCAGTGCTGGTGCTGTAAACTGAGACAGGGACACGGGAAGACAAGCTGTGGGGGGCAGAGGTGTTGGAGCTGTTCACAGAAAGTCCATGTGGCATCCTCCTATAACTAGTGAAGGATACTCTTCAATCAGAGAGTAGTTGAAATATATTACTGTAAGTAACAGAATTAATAATAAAATGTTGCAGGAATGGTAGTATAATTTCATATTGAAAATTGTGGTCCACACAGTTTTTCTATTCAACTAATTAAAACTTTATCCTCTTGTGTGAATACACAGTACGGGAGAGTGATTTGGATGCTGCATTCTTACTGTTGTGGTGGATTTCAACTCATTCAGCTTACATAGACTGTAAAAAGTTCATTTTTATAGCATAGTAAACATGTAGGCTACAAAAACACAGAAGAAACTGATTTCTTCGAGATACAACTGTTATACATCCAGAGGACATTAACTACAGTGTTAAAGAAAAATTTTGGAAGTGACCTTCCTTTAGAATGGGATAATAAGTTTCAGAATTGTTTATAAGTAAAACGTTTTTGTTTGAAAAGTAGATTTATTAAACTAAAAATAGACATACTTCCTCTTGTGTATTTTAGTCCGCAGGGAAACTGCAAATAGATTTATTACAGAGTCTTTTAAAATCAGAACTATGAATATAAAATATCAAATAATTAAGCCCATAAAACAGTTTACAGGCGGGTTAGAACTGTTTTTGTTTTGATTTGGTTTTTGTTTTTTAATATCTAAAGAATTTGTGCCTCCTGGGAGTTAGACCAGTTTGCTTTTGTAAATTTGAATAGTGTAAATAAAAAGTGTTGTGGTACATAGTGTTTTGAATGGGGGAGTTAAGTGGCCCTAAAAGTTGATTAAATCAATTTGTCTTGGGTGCAGAAAAGCATTCGCATTGTGGAAAGGATAATTGCAGAGAACTGTGAAGAAGGGGGAAAAGACAGCCTCATCGATGGAATTACCCAAGTGTGACAGTGCTGTCAGTCTTATAAATTGCCTTTTAAAATCATTTGCTTGGAAGTTTCAAAAAGAAAAAGAAAATGAACTCTTGTACTGCCTCTGATTTCAGCTTGAGTATTTGTTTTTTCTCATTTTATGATTATAAGTAAAAAAAAATTAAAGTATTCAACTTCAAGGAATTTGAAAGGCAATTAGAAAATGTTACCTTAGTTCTTTTCCTGTTTTAGTAGTTAAATTAAGATATTCATCTTACAAAAAGAATAAGGAATTTTTCTCAGAAACTTCCTGATAAATTAAAAAAATAGTATCTGTAACATAATATGCTTTTTAACCATCAAGTGTAATAGATGAACATCAAGAATGAATTTAAAGTCTATTCTGAAGTCTAGTAAGTCTGAATATGATACATTAGGGAAATAATTTCAAGGAGCTACACTCCCTGCTGTGGAAGAAATGATTGTAACTCATGAAAACCAGGGGCTGTAATAGTGTTGGCACGTGTGAAGTGAAATCGTAGAAAGCAGCCAAATTGAATTTATGTTAGCATTCTTTTGGAGGCAAGGGTAGCTTCTTGAGAGAACTCTGTGAGGCACAGAATCATCTTCAGAAGACTGTAGGGCAGAGCTGCTCAGCATGTGTGGCGCAGCTTCCTGAGTAAGTCCCAGGGAGATTCCTAGTGGGGATGGAACCAGTCCAAACACTAAAGTTCTGTGCTTAAAGCCAGTGCCATCCAAGTCCAGGTCAACTAAGGAAAACTTACTAAATAAATTTTAGAGGAATACGACCGGTTTACCTTTTTAAGTGAAATTAGCAAGTAACTTGATTTCACTGAGGTTGCTTCATTTGCATTTGGGGGAAGGTATTTTGTTATCATCTGTGTGTCTTGTATTATGTGTTAGCTTTCTGTCACTGTGGCAAAATATCTACGATAAATAACTTGAAGGAGAAATTTATTGAAGAAGTTTATTTTGGTTCACATTTCAGAGGTTGATTATATTGCTTTTGAGCTTATGATGAGGCTCCTTGAACATGTCAGAGACCACGTGGTGGCTTCAGTGCAGCAGACAGGAGGCAGGGAAAGGACTGAGGTCATCATGTACCTTCCAGGGTTGTCTCCAATGACGTGCTTCCTCCAACTGGTCCTGCCTCCTATAGTTTTCCAGCACCTCCCAATAGCTCATTTAATTATGAAGTTACAATGAATTAATTCATAGATGAGATCAGAGCCATGATCCAATCATTTTCCCTAAGCTCTTCCCACCCCTGTTTGCTAATTAGGGATAATAACCTGAGCCTTTGAAGAGCACTTCATATACAAATAGTGACAGTGGTTAGGTGTCTTCCACTATTGCTATTACTACTTTTTAAAAAAATTATTATGAATTACAGTAGTACCTTGGTTCACAAATGTAATTCTTTCAATGATTCTGGTTGCAAATTGAATTGAATGGGAACCAAATCAACTTTCCTCATAAATTCCACATTGAACCTAACCATTGAATTTGATTCGGTTCTTGTTCAGTTTGTTTTGCAACCAGACTTGTGAAAAGAATTAAGTTCATGAACCAAAGTATCACTCTATTTGTTTTCATAACAGTGTGGTCCCCTACAAATTTTTTCATCTTCAGATTAAGTTGTAATATATATTTTAAGTTTATCATTTATATTAAATAGATTTGAAGATAGAGACCATCACTGTCTAGCCACAAACACAGTAATGTTGCATACAAAAGAACAGATTTTGCAGGAGAGTGAGAAGGTAGCTGGAGTCTTTACTTCTGGCTACTTAAGAGGCTGAAGCAGGAGGATTGCAAGTTTGAAGCCAGTTGCCTGGGAAATAGAGCCAGATTCTATCTCAAAATAAAATTTGAAAGAAGGACTAGGAAAAACCAGGACATAAGGAAATTAGACATGCATCTTCTGTGCTTTTCTAGCCTTGTGCAAGGTGCTGGGTTCAATTCACAGTACTGCAAATAAATAAAGTTGGAGTAATTTGAAGAGACAAACTTCATACTCAGGTAAATAAGTTTGAGATCATAAAGACAATAATTGAGAGATATGAAGAGTGTAGCATTGTCGTAGGGAGAATATCGCCTGGCAAGGCTGTTTGGGAAGGGGTCTGTACAGTAAATTTAACTGCAGCCAGAACTAGAAACATTTTAAAGAGTTTTTATGAGCCGTGGAGGTGTAAGGTTAGACAATTATAAATCAGGAGTGATGCAGACAGACACGGGTATGTGTACATTGAGTAAAATGGCCCTTCGGGAGCCTGCAGCTGCTTTGTTTCTGGTTAGAGGGAAAGTTAGGGGAGAGGAAGATGCACATACCTGTGTGGGCTATATTCTGATGAAAGAGGTACCCTTCACATCAAGAAATGCAAAATGGTATAACTTTTGTGGCAACTACATAGCAACCTATATCAAGTCTTTGAGACATTAATGTGTGTGGGGGGAGTAACCAAGACAGTATTATAAGGAAATTAGACATCTATAGTTTTTATTTTCAAGGATATTGGTCATAGTGCTATTTATAGTAGCAGGAAAAAGGTGGGGATGAGGAGAAGAGACAGCAAGACCTACCAGAAGTGGGGATATAGCAGGGACTAAACAAGAACACTGCCTTCAGGAAGATTACTTTTTAGTATCTTGGGGTAGAGTTGAGAGGCTGGCTTATAGAATATAAATATAAAATGTGTATGTCACAGTGGATGGGGATACATGTGCTTTAAAGAGTAATAAAAAGCTGAGGGGGCAGCAGATGACAAAAGGGGTATGATTGTAGATAGGAAAGGTACGTTGATACTTAGATGAAGACCTAGAAAGTAAGGAAGCAGGTCATCCAAAAGTCTGGCGGAAAAGCCCGGTGGGCAAAGGAAGTAGTATATGCAAAGGACCTGAGGGTGGTAGTTGATTTGTTCGTACACCAGTATGGGAATAAGTTTAAACAGTGATTGGAAGATGAGGTCAGGTTGTTTGGAACCTTGTGAACCACTGTCTGGGATTAGATTCTGCTGGATGTGGAAGGCACCACAGAGACGTGGTATAGTGTAAGTTTTAGTATGGTCACGGCAGCCTGTAAATTGAGAGTGGGCTAGGAGTTTGGAGGCTTGGACCACTTAGCAGAAAGTAATCCAGGCCAGGATAATGGGGTAACGTGAGAAAAGGTTGCTGTGGGCTGTGTTTTTAAACAGAATTTTTAGGACTTGCTGATGAATGGTATATGGGGTGTGGAGAGTCAAGGATGATCACAGTTTTGGCCCACACAACAGAAGGTGCCATTTATTGAGAGATGAAAGAGCAGGATCAGAGGAAGTTGAGTCAGTTTTAGACTGTTAAGCTCATATTGTTGTGTGACGTTGATGTGAGTATGATGAATTGGCAGTCGGCTGTGTAAAAATATCTAGAGTAGAATTTGGCATTGAAATTAGGACGATGAAGTCGGTCCTGATATGGATGTAAAAAGTGAGTGATGACTAGACACCAAATGAAAGACTTTCACGGAGAGAACGGCCTCCTGTGTCAGCACTGCAGATAGGTGCAATGAAATGGTAATGGGCCGGTGCGTCTGACCGTGTGGATATGATTAGTTACTGTCCACTGCACTTCCTGTTGAGTGTTAGGGGCTGAAGACACCTGATTAAAGTGGGTTAATTAAAGTAGATTCAGGGAATGGGTGGAAAGAAAGTAGACTCAGCAGGTTTCTCAAGGAGCATTGCTGTAAAAGGGAAACCAGAAATAGCTGAAGAATACATGGTGAAGGAAGGACTTGGGACACATTATGTACTTACTGGAACTTCCATAGGAAAGGGGAAACTGATTTAGAGAAAGTGGGTATGGTTTCAGGAAGGAAGGTATTGAATAGGCGAGGAGGTGAGAATGAGCCCTTTTAGTACAAGCAGGAACAGTTCATCTTTGTATGTGGTGAACAGCCCCAGTTAAACAGTCATATGAGTTGCTTGAAAGAAATAGTAATGCCATTCCCCTCCCTAGAGTGGTGAAATTGCAGTCTCCAAGCAGACGCCCTTGGCACAGGATTTCCTGAAAGCTCTCCATGTGCATCTCTGCACAAGGCACAGGCTGGAAACACAACTGTATGTGAGTGCTGGGACAGGCAGGTGCCTTGTTTGGAGATAACATGAGGAAATTCTCTTCCTGCTGAAAGAATGCTGGAGGCTTCCGGAGAGGATGTGACATAATTGCCTTTAATAGTATGAGAAAAACCTAAACAAGGAAATGTAGGTTGGGCAGGCCACGCTTGGAAGTGTGTGGTCAGGATACTTAAGTGTGATCTATCCTGTTCTCTTCCATCTGCTTTTATATAGGTACAGAGTAAGTGTATTAGTGATTTCCTAGGCTTGGGTTCTTGATACAGTGTTATTAGAACTCAAATCTGAGTAGAGCACAACTTTACCTCCTTCCTTACAAAACAAAGCCCTTTCCCAAATATTGTCCACATGTCCTAAGTACTAAGGTTATTTGTTCATAGAAATGTAATGGATTATAGCTATATACCAACCTTAAATAACAAGAATTGGGTGTTCTTTGTACAGAGAAATAGAGTGTGCTTATTTATTTTTCCAGTGTGTTGGTAATTTGATTTGGACCTCTGTGCATTCAGTTCCACCTCCAGTATTTAATGTGTTACTTATATGTACCGTTTTTCTTCTAGAAATCTGAATCTGTATTGGAATTTTACCGAGAACTTGGATTGCCGCCAAAACAGACAGTTAAAATCTTTCATGTAACCGATAATGCTGTAATTAAGCCAGGTAATCTGGGGTCAGAGAACAGAGGGTGATAAAAATATCCAGATAAGTGATTTGCTTAATGCTACCCCTTTCTGTAATAAAGCTGAATCCAAAATACAAAGTGCCAAATACAGGTGCTTATTTTTAAGTATAAAACTGTATCTGTTTTAATCACTAAGAATAAACAAATCTTTGAGTCTTCTAAGTGAAAAAGCTGTAAGGGACTCTTTGTTTTCCATGAAAATGGGAGGAACACTTTTGTTTTTAATGTGGAAAGAGTTTTCACATTTGAAAAAGCTGTTCTAAATAAATATACCAACTTTTAAAATTTGAGGTTCATTGTTTGCAGGCTGGAATTTTGTTAAGAAAACTAAAGTCTCCTTTAATTAGGAAATACAGCCTGAAATGGTAGAGTGACTGATATACAGCTATATGTCATATATTTTTTACTTACCAAACTAACAACTCTCATCAAGCTTGGATGTTTACCAGCAGGAATAGTGTGTGGTCACAAGAATCATCCTTTTTTTTAAAATTTGATTTTAAAGAGAATAAAACCAAGCAAAATAAAACAGAATAAAGCCAATCAAAACAAAACAGTGCAAATGATACAGAACTTTAAAACAGAATAATAGGAAATCAACAATGGCTGCCTTACTGCCTCTTGTTATCTTCAAAATTGCTGTGCATACCATCAGACATAATAAAATCAAACAAAGCTGGGCATGATGGCACACGCCTATAATCCCAGCATTTGGGAAACTGCAGCAGGAGGATCATTGTGAGTTCGAGACCAGCCTGGGCCATAAAGTGAGTTCAAGGCCAACCTGAACTACATAGTGAGACCAAGACTCAAAAAGACCCAAAAAAAAAAAAAAAAAAAAAAATCAGAAGAGCAAAATAAAACCAATCAAAAAGGGAACATTGAATAAAAACAAAACAGTTAATTGAAACAAAACCAAACAGTAAAAATAACATTAGATTTCAAAAACAAGACGGAAGGAAATCCTCCATGTTTATTACATTGCATATTGTTACCCTCCTAATAGATGCTCAGGCTACCGGCTTTAGGCCTGCAAAGTCCATCAAACAATACAAGCATAAAGTTGTTTTTGCACCTCAGTTGCTAACAGCTCATCTTTTGTTCCTCTGAATCAGCCTGTTGCTTAAAGGGTTTAGGGAGTGTTCTCATCTCCTTGCCCACTAGCCAGGTTGCTCACAGGAAGGGCAAATTGGCTTCTTGTTTCTCCTCCTGGGACCCACATGGCCTCCAGGAATCATTCATGTTAACCAGCACCTCTTGAACCCCTGGACGGTGCTGTCCGTCTGCCAGGCCTGGTCTTTCCTGCACTATGCACCTTCCATGGGACTTTTTCTTTAGCCTACACATAGCCAACTAAAAGACATGTCTGTTGAATAATTCTGTTGCTTGGGTGTTTCTGATGTGTTTGGGTTCTGATGTGTTGGGTGTTCTGATGTGTCCTGTTTTTTGAAATCTGATAGATGGGTTATTTGATGTAGTTTATGTTTAGTAAAGTTAATTCTGTGCGGTAAAATTTCATACTGATTTCCTTTTCCTTTTGTAAAGGCACTCCTCTTTATGCTGCTCACTTTCGTCCAGGACAGTATGTGGATGTCACCGCCAAAACGTAGGTCCTCATAGTGGTTCTTTTTTCCTTTGTTCTTTTGTTAACTTTAAAAAAAAAAAATTAATTACCAAGTCAGTGAATAAAAGATAAATATTCTCACTTATAATTCTGATCTGTGAAGTCACTAACAATACTGGTTTTAAAATTGTACTGAATTAGTTTTATATTAAAAATTCAGGTTACAACCATTAAGCTGACATGTATGCTTGACATGCAGCTAAAAGAAAGATCGCATTGCTTAAATTCTGTGTGAGTTGGCCCATTTCTGTTTTAAGGACAAAGGAAGACAAAGTTTCATGGTGAAATATGCATGAGCAATGCGGACAGAATCCTTTTGAGGTTGGGGTGTAATCTAGTTTTGGCTGTGCTTTCCAATTGTAGAAAATGGTTAAATTAGTAATGTTTTATTTTGTTTTGAAAGTGGTGGTTGTGTTTGACTCCTAGAGTATGCTAAAAGCGTACCAAAAACTAGAAGTAGCATCACACTATAGCTCTCTTCAGTAGCATTATACTGCTCCTCAGTATCATACAAATTAAACTTCTTCCATGAAAGCAAAATTCTTTTAATTCTCTAACATGCTTTAATTTAATAGAAATCAGTATTTGTCACTGTGAGAGAAATGCTATGAGTCATATATAGCCTGGGCAATGATATTTTTGGTGCTGCAGCTTTTGATTACTGTTTCTGCCACGTGGCTTAGCATTGGCTAGGTGATCTCCAGGAAACATTTAGATCTTTGAGAAGTGAAGTTACTTCACTACAGAATTTAAAATAAGTTCGTATCGATACTGAAACTCTTCAGTATAGGTTATTGGGATTCACATGCTCTACAGGAAACATAACTCCACCACCAGGTATTGTCCATGCATGTTATTCTTGCACATAAACTATAATTTCATTTCTTTTGTGCCTTTTTGTTACATGAGAATATCTTCAAGGATATTCTGAGATTCTCTAGGATAGTCTTACAATCATCAGAGAGGTATTTGTTTGTTTGATGGTTTGGAGACAGGGTCTCCCTATGTAGTTCAGGCTGGCCTTGAACTTGCCAATATAGCCCAGGCTGGCCTCAGAGTGATCCTCTGCCTCAACCTCCCAAGTGTTGGAATTTATAGGCATGTGCCATCATACCCAGAGGTTGTTTTTTGAGTAGTTTCTATCCAAAGAAACTGGATGCATACTAACATTAGTCCCTGTAATGCAGTTAAATGTTGTACATTCATTTCACACTATTATCCTTTAATTTGAAATATAAGCCATTGCAAAAGCTGCTAGATATCTTTATTTTGTTTAGCCATTTAGAAGTGAAGTAGGACATTGGTAGCAGAGAAAGTCCTCTTTTTAGAGAAATTATGAACCTGTTACTTCTTTTCTATTTCTCATTGTCATGAACTTGTCCTTAGTTACTGCAATCCCTAAAATAATTTGTTTTTTGCTAACTATGTTTGTTCTGCTTTCATTTTCATGAACTCAGTATTAAAACTCTTATGCTCTTGTTTGGTTAGTTGGGAAGATATATTGTAAATCAGATTGTTTTGCTTTTTAATTTCTGAATTATTACGTGTAATAAAGTACCTCATAGTAATTCTGATGTTCAGTTGGTGTTTTGTGAATTGCATTAAATATTTCACAGAACAAGTAGGCTACCCTGAGAAGCCGTGCAGAGTCAGAGGCTGTACTTCACTGATGTCTGTAGCCAGGCTTGTGACCAGCTTGGACTAGAGGCTAGCTGTTCAAACACCTGTGCTCACCGATTGTTTTCATCTCAGGCACTGCTGAGGAGTTTCCTTGGCTTCTTTTTTTTAGTTATTTTTAAAACTACAGCTTTCCTGTGAGTATAAAGTGAAAAGAAAAGTTGCTTTATTTTGTACAGCCAAATATATTCCTAGAAAACATGATTGTATAAAGTTATGTGCCACCCTCAGACTAAACAGCTGCTAACAGCTGGAGTTACAGCGTTGGGACTTAAAGTAGCTGGAAGAGAAGGAAAGGAGCCCGTCTGATAAGATCTTCCCTATTACATGGGCTGCAGCGCAGTTTTGTTTTTTTTGTTTTTTGTTTTTGGTGCTGGGGATCAGACTCACGCTTGCCAGGGAGGCACTTACACCACTGAGCTAAATCCCCACCTGCAGTGCAGTATTTTGATTTGACTGTGTAATAAAGGGCTTCGCTTCACACAAGGTCACTGTGTTGTTTGTGTGCATGTCCTTGTGTGGAATTCCCCACATCAGATCAAATTGGGTTTTATTTAGCTTTTGTTAGCTGTTTCCAGGGGGTACACCTCCTGTAGCTGGCATGTTGCTCTGTCTGTAAGAAGCTTTTAAGTGCTCTAAATTTATTGGACTTTTTTCATGTGGAGCTTGGTTTGAATTCCCTGAATGTAGCATGAGCTCCTTAGCTGCATCCAGCCCCAGCTGCTGCCACCCCTTCTCTCTGCTCGTGATGTCCCTACTTTGCTGCAGAAGGTGTGCTGACGCCCTTCCACAGAGATCCTGAGAGTTCTGGCCAGTTCTCGGGATGTGGGTGCTGTGGATCCAGGAGTGTGGTGAGGGCCACAGGACTCAAACAAGTCCAGCTCATCAGTCAAACTGCTTTTTCTCCTCTACTCCTGTGCCCCTTAGAGGATTCAGAATGGCTTCCTTTCTTTAACTCTGATCAAGTTGTGACACATAAACATCTTTTTTTCTTTCACGTAAACATCTTTTAAAAGCAACCAAGTTAAATTAATCCACTTTCAATAACATTACCAATAAAAAATGAGCCTGTTATTACTCACATTTTAGCACAAAATTAAAAATTGTTCTATGTAGTAATTTGTTTCATTTTCTTTCAATTAGCAAAGAAAATCTTTTATTTGTTAATCTATACTTATATTTTGGATGTTTCAATTTTTTTCCTTAGATTCTTAATAGCTGGGTTAAAAACAGTTCAGAAATAACTAAGTTAATTTAAAAAAATGTTAAAAAAGGAAAACAGTGTCAACCTCAAAAGTAGGTTGTTAGTGAGATGTTTACCTCAAATGTAATTGTCTGTAGGCATTTTTAAAAGAATTGATCAGTGACCAATAGCAGCAGCTTCTTGAAGGCTTCCTTAGACTCTTAAATATCATTTTTCTATTAATTGCAGTAGAAAATTTGCTTGCATCAAAAGATACTTTGTGTGTACCAGTACTGAATGTGACTAGAATTCTCTATATCAGTATATAAAAAATTTACGGATTTAACTTTGGGGCATGAAGTAATTGTGTTTACCAGAGTTCATTTTAATTTTTCTTTTTTATCTAAAGGTTCTGAGAATACAAGTTCAGTTTAGATTACATAGGAAGTACTTTTACATCCAATAATAAAAATTCTAGTAAAATAGTTTAGTTTCATTATGCTCTTAGTAGATAATAAAACAAGTGTTTGAGATATGGCAGTCTTACATAACTTGTTTGTAGTAGAAATTTGAACTTGCATGTGTGATAGATATCCTCCTCACCTCCACCCAACTACACGTCTGAAGTTTATGTTCTTTTTCTGTAATAGTGACTATATTTCACTATAACTTTGCATAGATGATATTTTGGGATCTACTATTTTCCCTTTTTTTGGTTTCAATTTTAAGGACAAAACAGCTTTAGATACTGTATGAATATAAACAGTGTGTGGCTGTCAAGTTTACCCTCAGCATAGGCCGCTTGGCTGCACATGGTGTAACTGGGTGTGGTGGTGTACACCTGGGATCCCAGGATCTGGGAGGTGAGCGTGGAGACCAAGGCTGTCCTGAACTAATAGTGTGAACAGTAGGCTGTGTAGCAAAAATGAGAAAAGAATGAAACAAAGAACCAACAAAAAGAAAACCAGAAGAATGCATTTTTCTGTGTTTAGGATGAAATGTTAGGACTCGTCAAGGATCAGAGGGACCACCAGCGCAGCCTTGCACCCTTGCAGTGGGTCTGGCGGGGCGTACTGCTGCTGAATGTCTACTCAGCTTTGAATTCATGGCAGTGGAATGATGGGAACTTTTCTCTGGTTGTCTGAAATTTTTTTTTTTTATTAAATTTGAAACTCTTATTGAAGTCAAAAGACAGCTTATTCAGTTTTGTAAAAGATTGTTTTTCTTTCTGAAAGAAGGATAATCTTAAAAAATCTTATCTATAAGTCTGGGCTAACTCATATATTTTCAGGCATAATCTTATTATTTTAAAGTTGTTGGTTTTCCTTGTGTTATTATTGCTTTTTGTATCAGAATAGAAAAAGGTCACTCATCTCAGTAGTGTTCTCAGTGATAAAATTTAAGGAGATAGGGTATGAAAGACTCTGCCTTTTTATATTTACTGAGATTGACTGGAATTAGTTTGAGCTTTCATAAAAATATCAAAAAGCATAGAAAGGTACTGTCCCCGTCAAACTTTTTTTTTTTCTAGTGGTATTGGAGATTGAACCCAGGGCCTTCACACTAAGCTACATCCTCAGCCCTTTCTTATACTGAGATAGGGTCTTGCTCAAGCTGGGCTGGGCTGGAGCCTGCGATCCTTCTGCCTCAGCCTCCCAGAGTTCTGAGATTACAGGTGTGTGCTCAGCTCCATCCAGGTCTTAAAGGTAGTTTTAAAAGTGAGTTGGGTTCTTCAACAAGCAGGATTCTGTGGCTTCGTGCCTCATCCCACACTGTTAGTGAGAGTTGCCTGCACATCCTTCAAACCCTCCCCACGGACTCGTTGCTCTCCTGACTGGTGGATGTTCCCCATGAACTCGGGAAGGACAAAACACGTGGTGCCTTTGGGATCCAGTTTGTAGCCAGTTCTGTACAGTTTTATGCTCTTAAGTATAATTGACCTGTCTGTGTAACTATAAAGCAGAATTTTTTTAACCCACAGTCAGCAAAATTAAATCCTGATAAATAAGAACAATCTAGGGGAGTAACTAAAGGCATTGGTGTCTCAGGAGTGGTATGATCTGGACATTTTATGTTATTTCATCATTAGCATAAGGATAATTTACCACCTACTTCACAGTCA